AGAGCGGCGCCAGCCCCAGCAGCGGGGGAGACCCGCGGCCGCCCCGCGGCGACATCCGAGCTCCGGCCTCCGCCGAGCTCCCCATCTTGGGCACGCGGGGAGATGAGCGGCCGCCGAGCTCACCAGCTGGATGATGTTGGAGACGCTCAGCCAGTTGGCTTGCTTGATGTTCTCGCCACCTTCCACCAGACCCTCGTAGCCCTGCCGGGACAGAAAGCGGAGGCAGAGCTCGGAGGTGCCTCCCTTGCACCTCCAGCTGAGGGAGTCTCATGAGAACTCAACCTCTAGGGCTACAAGATAGCCAAGGCTGGAAAGGTCTCCGGGTGTGGAAAGCACTGGGGAGAGGTGGCCACAGGTGACGTGTTTGGCTTGGGATGCAGCCGGGCATGCAGAGCATCCCCAGATCTCACTGCCTCCTGCTGGCCCAAAGCAGGACCAGCCCCTTGGCCCATGCTGAGGGACAAGGGTGCCGAACGGCTCTCTAGAAACGCATCGTCCAACCCTGTCCCCGGTGTCACTTATTGACACTTCTCCACCAAAGAGGGGTCCAATGGAGCCGTTCCACCCTCCTCAAGCAACACCCGGATGGAGCAACGGGATCATCGAACCTCATAGATGAGGAAAACCTTGGCCCCGACGTAGATGCCCATGCGGGTCACGGCGCGGACAGCGGCGTTCATGCCTGCCAAGGGAAGAGGTGTTTGAGCGCGATGCTGAGCATCCCATCCCGGATCCGTGCCGCAAACAGCTGGGATGCACGGGCGAAAAGCCGCTTTTCCGCTCTGTGTTTCCAGGGCGCTCTGGGAAGGGGCCGCTCTGTGCCCAGCCGGAGCAGTTCATTGCCGGCGGCGACAGGGTTACGTAATCGGCCACCGGAGCCGCGGGAAGCTCCCCTTCCGGCCCGGTGGCCCCGGCTCATCCGCGGAGCTAATCCCGGCGGGATAAATGCGGCGCGTCGGCCGGCGCCGGCTTGCCCGGGAGGTCACATCGTCCCGGGCGCCTTTTGGCACACGGGCGCCCTCGCGAGCTGCAACGTGTCCATCTGTCTGTCCGTCTATCCCTCTGTCCCGCCTGGATGCCCGTGGCATGGCGGGAAGCTGTGGGGCC